GAAAGAGAAAGTGGTTCAAGTAGCTGAAGAATTAGAATTTGAGAGCTCCAAGTCTGAGGATAGTGAAGAAGAATTGTTAAATTTTGAGAAATCTGAAGAGGAGGAGGAGGAAGGATATGTCTTACAAGATGACAGGAAAAGTGAAAATGATAATGATTATATTGGGATTGAGGAAGAGCCAGAGGACTAGACATTTACCTTATAATTTGTATTGATTTATGATTTTGTTATTTTAATTTTGAAGTCTTGAACTTGGTGTTTTGTTATCATTTTATAATTATGTGAAGCTAAACTTCCTGGTTATTATTTGTTTTATGGCTGTTTTTGTTATTTCTACATTGCAATTTTATTTTAGTATATTTTTATATTTATCTATAATTATGTATATATTATAGTTTTATTTTGGCCATCATGCTTTCACCATATCCTGCAACGTCATCAGCCACATTTCTATGGCGGATTTTTGAGTTGCAGTCATAAACTGCCATTGATAACACTGATAATAAGAGAAAATGAAGGGAAATCTATTACCCAAATGTGTATTACTGAAGAAGACAATGCAAAGATGAATGGTTTATATAAGAAAAACAAATTCTCTGTCAGTGCCAAAACATTAAAAATGAAAGAAACAGAGAGATGAAAAAGGGTGAGATGACAGCATAAATAACTGAAGCAGCGTTACATCACACAAGAATGAGCTAATAACACAGCTGCGGCAGTGTTGCATTGCAGCATCTGAACACTGAAGGGAAGCTGTTGTCTCCTGTTTTTGTGGCGTGCCTGCTTTCCTGCTCCAAATGCAGCTGCAATTGATAATAGAGTTAAAAGGCCTTCTTTGCTCCAGATTGTTGGTCATCCATCCATTGTTTTGGGGATAATTTTGCAATTTCTCACCTTTTTCCATTAGATAAAGTTCAAAACCTGTTGAAACACTAATCTACGCTGAATTGCATTCATTGAATACATGCACTGTTCTCCCCGCCTCCCCTCCACTAGAGGCAAACAGTCTAGTCAACAGTCTTGCAGGACACTTCATGTGAATACACGGCACTATGACAGCTTCCCCAGTAAGATAGGTACCTCATGTTCTTCTTTCTTGATATTTTTATTTTCAATCGCGTTCCTTGACTTTTGTTATTGACTTTGTAATTAGCTTAAAACTAAGACTTCTGATTAATAATTATGAATGTCTTTAACTTAAATTGTTAATTAGTATTTATATGGTGGTCATTGGTCATCCTGCTATCCAATATCTCCCTAAAACAGTTTCAGGGTTGGATACTCAACACAGCCCCCAAGGGACCAGGGTTGATAAATGTGGTCATAGTTATCAATCCTAAATAGCAAGATAGAGTGGCCAGCCCTAAAAATGCTATAGTAGGATAGTGGGTAAGAGTCATGGCCACTATTCTTGACCAATCAGAATGAAAAAAATTAAAGGGAAAAACTTAGAAGAGAGCACAAAATGAGATGAAAAACCTGTTTTAGAGAGATTATAACTAAAACAAAGCTGCAACAGAACAGAGCAAGGCTGTATAGCTCAGAATTAGCTGCAAACAGTGATAGATTCACTGGAAAATGGCCATAGGGGTCAAGGATGGCCAAAAAAGTCAAAGCTGACCAAAAAACACTTGGAAATGCTGAATATGTTGCCAGACAGGGGTGGCTATTGCCTATTAATCAGAGAGGAGAACAGTAGTTGATACTTCTTAACAGAATTTGTGCAAGTGATTGAGAAAGTAGGGTCTGGTTCAAAGGAGGGGCAAAATCCCACCCCACCCACCCCAAAATAAAAAAAATAAAAAAATAAAAAATAAAATAAAATAAACAGCTCTAAACAATGCTGTTTCATAGTTAAAAGAGGTATTTTATGATTCACTCCAATGGCACCTGTTCCAGTCATGATTTTCTGCAATTTTGCCCACTATCACAGCTTTGATAGCTGCAATTTAAACCATGACGCTATTCAATATCTCTGGTGTGCTCCATGACACAATTCTGAAATAGCGCCTCTATTTGGTGCTATTGACAACTGACTACGGCACTACAACAATATGCATCCATCTCTAATAGCTTTCTTCTGGAGACACAATAATGGATAACTCATGGTCCACATTTTACAAGCGAGGCATAGATATCCAAATAACATTTTTCATCCAAGAGAACTAAGCATGCACAATAAAAAGAAGCCAAAATCTTTGAAAACTTAGGGATGGAATAAGATCTTTCATTTACAATAACATTAAGCTAAGGAGTAATAATACAAGTGTTTTTTCCTTTTCCTTAGAATGCAACTCTATTGCGAAAGGATTAGCATAACGTAAATTAAACCATACATATACAAATAGCCAGCACTTTATACATCATGATTCTGAACACAGAGCTGCATAAATAAAAAAAATTATAACACAAGTTCGTTAAAAGAAACAGTAAACCATTAACATGATACTTCTTGTGGTACACTTCAATTTTTCATATATATAAACTGAGTATTGACAGGCATTCATTTTGGGTATATCCAGAGCATGCAGTATGGTATGTAACTTATTCCAAAACCACCACAACACAAAAACTACTTACAAAAGATTTGTTCTCATCATCAGTTGGACACGAGACAAAGCAAACTGATATTTACACAAGACCGAGCGAACGACCTGAAGCAACAACAAGTCAAAATTGCATCTGTGCCGCCGCAAGCTCCAACAGACCATGAGCAGCCCTGTGGACCTTCCTCTGCTCATAGTCCGGATCATCGGTGGGCAGCTCAAACCGACAAACCGGGCAGGTGTTGCGAATGCTCAACCACGGAAAAATGCAATCCCCATGATAACAATGAGAGCAGGGCAACCTCCTGACCTTCTCCTCCAACAAAATCTCATCCTTGCAAATGGCACACGCCACACTCTTCCCCTCCAACTCCTCCTTGGACAGCTCCACCAACGGGAGGCTCTCCACAACGCTCTTCGCCGCAGGAGGGCTTCCCTTCAAAGCATTCTCATTCTCAAGAAACTGCCCAAACAAAACATCATACTCCGCCGCATACACATAACCATCCTGAATTGTTACCAAATCAGCACCACCAACACTTCCCTCATGCTCCAACCCACCAGCATTATTAACATTCCTCTCTGAATTGTTAACCGCCAAGAGAATTTCCCATTCAAGATACCTCAGCGCCTCTTCCCCGGCGTCCTCCTCCTCCTCCTCCTCCTCCTCCTCCTCGGCGGCGTTTGTAAACCCTGACGCCACCGAATTCCCATCATCACCACCTTCAATTTCAACCTCATCAACCACCAAACCCAAATCCTCTCTCTCACTCACCCTCTCCTCCACCTCCTCCCATTCAAAGCTCTCATTCAGCGTCCTCTGATCCTCCAAACAGAGACTATCCCAACACAACCGAACATCGAAATCATCAAACCCGCCACCAACCCTATCCCCACCCTCCTCGCTACTCGAATCCGAATCCGAACCAAACCCTACAACCCTAAGCCCGTCCGAACCATCGAAATTGAAAACGCTATCGCGATTGCCATCGTCGTTCTGGCTCGGGGCGTGGACTTCGACGCCAAACCCTAACCCTAACCCTAACACCTGGTCCGTGCGATGGAGGTCGCAGACGGCGCCGGAGAAGGGGTTTATGTCGGTGTCGTCGCAGGAGCAGAGGCGCGAGCGAGATTCGAAGAGATCGGTGACGAAGCAACTCACTGAGTCGGAATCGGAATCGGAGTGAGTGGAAGACGCGAAGGGATTGGAGGAATGGTGATGGTGATGGTGATGACGATGACGATGATGAGACATGATACGTTACGAAACGGATTCAATTCGATTCTCTGAATCTGTGTTTGTGTGTGTGTAAGGAGCGACAAGATATTAAGGTTTCTGAGTTTTTTTTATTTTTTATTCTTTTTGTTCCTGTGTTGTTGCGTATGTTTAATGTAACGTTAACGATGTTTTTCGTGACGGAGACTTGGAAGAGTTAGTTACCAGCAAATTTCGACAGTGTAAAAGTTGGGGAGAAGAAATGTTACGTCACAATGCCGTAATATTGGACTTTTTTATTCAAATAATACATTTTTAAAAAAAAATTAGTCAAATAGTAACTATGTAAATTTATTTTCTCAACTAATACTACACACTGTTCACATTTTTTTTAATTTTTTTTCGTTTTGGGCCTAAGTGATCTATGAATTTTGCACATAGAATAGTTCGTTCTGCAACCAGGACGACCCATTTTACATGCACTCTCGTATGTTTTTTTTTTTGCATCTGGAACGACCCGTTTTTAAATCAGAAGGGTCATTCTTAAACCAGAACGGGTCATGCTTAAACCAGAACGGGTCGTTCTGGAATTGCGTTTTATCTCATAACCTCAATGTTAGAACAGTCTGTTCTAAACTAGGGATTTTAACCCTTTTTAGTAGTTTGAAATGGACCGTTCTGCTTTTGAAATGACCCGTTTTGACAACTTGACACTTATGTTTTAAAAATATAAACATTGATCTCTACAATCTTTTTCAAAACATAAGTACAACTCCTTTTATAAAATAAAAGGAACTTCAATCAATGTTTTACTAAGGGGGAGTTTAAGGGGGAGTGATCGAAATATATTGTTTTATTTTCTTTCCCTTTACAGTGAATTGTCATCATCAAAAAGGGTGAGAATGTGGAAGAAAATATGCACAAAGTTTTGATGATGCCAAAGCATTGAAGAAAATAAAGGTCAAGTTAAAGCAAGCTGATCAAGAAGCAAGATCTCAAGTAATAACTAGATAAGTCTTGACTGCTTAGCTTAGTATGTAAAATGAACTTTTAGAATTTGCAAATTTGACTTGGCCATTAAAATAAGAATTTCAAGAAAACCTAAACTTAATACTTTTGAATATAAGAATAAGTTGTTTGAAAAGAAAGCAAAAAGAGTATTCAAAAGATTAAATAAAAATATTTTTAACTGGAAAATAGAAGCTCTTTATATCTTAGGTTTTCATAAGCCAAAACAAGTGACATGTTTCTGGTAATCGATTACCACTTGCTGTAATCGATTACCAGAGAAAGAAAACCTTTCAAAATGTTAAAATGCTCTCTGGTAATCGATTACCACTGACTGTAATCGATTACCAGAAGAGAAATTTCAAAATTCGAATTTGAACTATACAACGTTTCAAACATTTTGAACTTAAACCGTTGTAATCGATTACCAAGTCTTGTAATCGATTACCAGAGCCTATTTTCTGAAAAATTATAGAGAGTTACAACTCTTCATGAAAAGACATAACTCAAGATACAATTGTCTATAAATACCTATAATTTTTCAGAGAAAGGTGACGAACTCAATTGTGAAAAATTATCTTTACAAATCACTTGGCCAAAATCATTTGCAAAATCTCTAAAGAGTTCATCAAAGATCATGAAAGTGTAATATCCACTCTTCAAGAGAGTCATTCTGTATTACTTAATAGATCATTGGATCTGTAAAGGAGAAAAGGTTTTTCTCCTTGTTGGTGTTTGAATCTCAACACAAGGAAAGGGAGTTCCGAGGTGTTGGAGGATTCATTTTCTTGTAAGGTTTACAAGAGTAGTGGAATTCTCAAGTGGGAGACTTGAGGACTGGATGTAGGCAGGATTGGCCGAACCAGTATAAAATCAAGTTTGCAATTCTTCTTCCTTACACTTTTATTTATTTGTTATTTAATTGTGTTTGAGTTGTTCTTCATCATCATTCTTTACATGCAAATTTGTCTAAGGAAATAAAGTGATAAGAAAGTAATTGGAAAAGTTTTTATAAGAGGAAAATTTAGAAAACTTAATTCACTCCCCCTTTTAAGTTATACGAGGCTAAGGGACTAACGGTGTGATGTGCAAGTTATCCAGATTTTTCATTATTAGTTACAGTTTGACTCGTACAAGTTTCGAATCTATTAAGATAAGGTCCTATTATTATCATCTTGTGTTTTCAACTTTAAGATACTATAGCTTCATACTTCAAAGGTGTTTCCTTTAAATCTAGCTTTAAACTTAGCATTGTAGCGAACACAATTTACCCTTTCAACATAAACACAACGTAGTCTCAAAGACTAACATCAATTAATTAAATTTATTAAATATTAACATTATAAATATAACTAAATAAATTTATTAAAACTCATTACAATAAAATCAATGGTGGGGGGAACTAAATCCATGACCAATATTTAGACATGTCTTCCTAGTGTGACTAGAGGTGTGACAATAGGAACACTTTTTTACACAATTATATTGTTCTCTAATGTCCATTGTAATATTCATCTTTTAAAGGGGTATTTTGTAATTTTTATTAATGGCGCCAGATAGCGCCAGATATGCTAAGGAAGCTGAATTTTTGAGACTGCAACAAGAAATTATGTTAGTACAAGAGTATGTGGTCAAGTTTGAACACTTGGCTAGGTACTATTCTCAAGCTATCTCTGAAGCATGGAGATGCAGGAAGTTCAGTGAGGGTTTCAGGTATGAGCTGAAAAAGACTATTGTTCCTATGGGGATTGTGGAGTTCCCAGTTTTAGTTGAAAAGGCAAAAACAGTTGAGAGATTTGAAGGAGGAAATAGAGTGGCAAAAGGTACAAAGGGATCAACTGGATTTGGGAGGGGGAAACATCCTCAAAAGAGACCATCTCAGTTTCAAATTGGAAATGCTAATAAGAAATCAATAGGGACTACTACTACAGGAGCTGTTCAGAGTGTTAGATGTTACACATGTGGAGGCCCACATATGATGAGGGACTGTCCTACAAAGAACTATGTGTGTTTTAAATGTGGTAAGGTGGGTCACATGGCTAAAGATTGCAATGTCAGAAATACTCCAGCTAGAGAGAACCAGAAAGTGGATCGGCCTACTACAGCAGGTCATGTTTTTGCTTTGACAGGTGCTGAAGCTGAAACGTCATCTGAGCTGGTAAAGGGAAAGGGCAAAGCTGATGGTAATGATATTTCTATTCTATTTGATTCTGGTGCATCACATTCTTTTATTTCTTATGAATGCGTGGCAAGGTTAAATTTGGTTGTGAGTTCCTTGTGTGTGGATCTAGTTGTTTCTACCCCAGCTTCAGGGTCTGTTTTGACTTCTGAGGTTTGTTTGAGATGTCCAGTGGAGGTGGAAGGGCGTTGTTATAAAGTGAATTTATTTTGTTTACCTCTATCCGATTTGGATGTGATTTTAGGGATGGATTGGCTTTCTGCCAATAGGATTTTGATAGATTGTTCAGAGAAGAAATTAATCTTTCCTACTGATGAACAGGAGAGATTTATTTCTAATAGACAGGT